TGCTGCAGTGTGGCCAGAGGAGTCCCAGCAATGACCCAAGGAGAGAACACCTCTGCTGGGAGCCCAGCAGGATAGAGCTGGGCTTGTTTATCACTCCCTGACTGCTCTTTGTGACAGAGGGGCGTGCAGATTTCAAGCTCAAGCCTGAACAAAGTGGTGGGAAATGGAGGGGAGAACTCATCCTTGGAGACAACCAAAAGTCAACCGCATGCACCTGAAGAAGCGGCTCCAAGCCAGCCCTGCTGCTGGGGGGGTTGGACCGGCTGACCTCGGACAGGCCCTTCCCACCCCTGCTGCTCTGTGGCTGCGGCCGCCCGCCCGGGGGGCAGAGGCCCAAAACAGAGCTCCTCTGGACGGTACCTTGCCCAGCTGCAGGTCAGACAGGGAGCAGGCGTCAATGAAGGCCTGGGCTATCACAGAGAGACAGGCGTCGATGTGGTCGGTCTTGTCAATGTCGAAGACGAACTGGGGGTTCTTCAGGATGTTAACCCAAAACCTCAGAGGCAGGCTGTGGAGGAAACAAGCCCGGAACACACACTGGGTGAATGTTTGTGCTCCAGAAGGAGAGGGGAGGAAATGCAGGAATGATGCTGACAGAAAGTGAATATTAGAGAGGGAAAAAAAAAAGAAGAGCAAGATTCTACTCTTTAATCACATCCTGGCAGGGTACAGCCTCTGCCTAGCTAGAGTGGCAGGCACACGGCTTCTTGCTGAAGAGATTCCTCAGGCTGCAGCAGGCGGTGCGGGCAGGAGTCCTCACAGGCAGCCCTGCCCCGGGCAGCTCCCACCCTGCTCCTGCAGCAGCTCCCTGCGCCAGCGCCGGTCCAGGAGGGACACTGCCAGGGCTGCCAGCATGGGGCTGCCGAGTCAGGCTTCCCCACTTGCTGATTGCTGTAGCAATGGTGTCATCTCCTTTCACTTTTCTTCAACAGTAACAGTCATCTGGTTCTGATGGTAGGCCTGGCTCCATGAAATACATTTCATGTGTCTTTTTTCCTGCTCTCTCATTATTTTCTCCTCCAATTACTTCACTGCTCATTTGGCCGTAACACAGTTTCAGTGTTTCGCTCTCCCTTCTTACCATCCCTCCTCAGCTGCTGAGGAGTGAAACCCACTTGAAGCCTTTGCTCTACTGGCAATTAAAGGTAACGAAGGGTAGGCAAATCTGGAGCTCAATGGTTTTGTCTGCATGTCTGCTATCCCAGCCAAATTTGGTTTGAATTTCCACGTTAGGCTTGAAACGGTTACTGTCCCTGCAGCCCCAGAAGTGCTGAGCCTCTCCTTGACACTCCCTCCAAGCTCCCTGCTCTCCCTAGTTAAATCTTCTGCTTTCTCCTCTTTGCTTTGGCCCCCCCCACCTCATTCCCACTGCTCATCAGATCCCTCAGTACCACTCCTGGCTGGGCCCAGCACACTATTGTCACAGCACCAGCTCCTGGAGTCCTGTGAATACCCTGGAGTCTCAGCTTGGTTACAGAGCTAAGTCAGGAAAAGTGCCCCCAAGGGCTGAAAGCCAGAAAGCAACTGAAAAGGAGCCAAATGGGCTGTTTTAAAAATCTCCATGATGTTTTAAGACCTGACATGACTTTGGACTCCACCTCAAATCTTCAGTGCTTGGAGCTAACAGCACTGCTATCACACCATCCCATTGCTCTTCTGTTTCTCCTTTATTCATATGTGTGCCAGTTCTTTCTGCCCTTTATCTGCCTGTGCCTCCTCTTCCAGCTCGCCGTCCCCGAGCTGTGTTTGTTCAAAGCTCTCCAAGCCTGTGTTTGGCCTTATCTTTCTCTGCCCCTAGCTCCACCACCCCTCCTGTCTCTTTTATACTTTTAGGAAGCTAATGATTTGTCCAGGACATCAAGACACTGCAGCTGCTGCTCCTGAGAGACCGAAGGAAGGAAGGAAAGAAAGAAGAGATTTCCTCTTCCAAACCTGTTAGTCTTCCAGATGTGCAGAGTGTCAGGGTCCGTGATCCCTCTTTTCTCTGCTTGCTCCTCCAGGAAGTCGAAGAAATACTTCACGGCCACAGGTGGTTTATCATCTCGGATGCTGAGAATGGCTTTGAACAAGTCGTCCAGGAACTTCTGCAGCGTGCCCTGCAGGACAAGTGCACACCATGGAGGCTGGGAAGAGCAGCAGGACCCGAGCCCAGGAAAGCAGCGTGAGGAGCTACGACTGCTGTGCACAAGGGGAAATCCTTTGCTGCCAGTTGGATGAATCAGAAGAGAAGGGGGATGCCGAGGCGGGGAGGGAAAGGTTTGTTTGTGCATAGCGATACAATTAGCTTGCATTTGGGTTTAATTTCTTTTGGCATCGAGCTTTTCTTTCTTTCTGCTAGTAACTCACATCTGTGATTGTTCTGCACAGTAAATACAAAGAAGACTGTTGGCCAGTCTTGTGATCTCTGCTCCAGTAAGGCATCATGCTGGGATTAAAGATGGGCTGGGAGCCCAACTGCTGGAGCGGAGCACTCGCAGAGAGCGGGCAAGTTCAAATCTGAATTAAGGTCGCACAGACATTCACCCTGCTCCCACAGCTGAGCATCTCCCTCTCCCTTCCCACCAGGATCTCTCACTGGGGAGGTGGGTTAAGGTCAGAACTGTGCATCATGATCCCTGAGGTCGTCAGCGTCCCTTTCATGCGCGCAGACTCCAGACCAGCCTGGGGAGATCGTGGGGGGGCTTCACTTCAGCAGTCCTCCCACCTCCTACCTTTGTGGAGAGCAGCCTGGTCAGGTAGATCTCTGGTAGGACTTTCTTCCTGTGGCTCTGTCTGTGGGACTTCTTATGTTCCACTGATTCATCAGTTGGGAGAACCTGATCCAATATAAAACACATGTTCAGAGCGCTCCTCTCTGGCAGTGTCACACTGAATTTTCCTTTAAGTATAGAATTTCAACTGCACATAAAATTCAATTAAAAAGCAGTTACTGTTATAAATACACCCTTATATGGATTTTAAAAAGTGATTCATAACGCTCAGTTTTTCTGACATTTGTTTCTCTTGTGCTCTTTGTTGCCCCTCTCAAGCTAGACAAAGAAAATGAAACAATCCATCTCACTTTGCATGTGAGCCTGCTTGCCTTCCTGCGCTCCACAGCACTCCTGTGCAGCTGCAGCTTAGGCTCCCAGAAGCAATACACAAGGCTTCCGCAGGAACCAGCTTTTCTTAGATTTGGGGGAAGTGCAAGACTGATTGGTCAATATTCCAACCTTAGCCTTTATTAAAAAAAAAAAATTCCACTGCTCAGGTCAGTTACTGCTCTATAATGACCTAACAAGCCATTTAAGTCCCTCTTGGCATTGTTTCACGTGGGCATATTTGGTTTCCTGTCCCATCTCCCTCTCTGCACTGCATGCGCATTCTTTGTGCTCTATTGGAGCACGTAAACTTCAGCAGAAGAAAAAAGATCAGGCTATAAAATACTGTTGTTGCCCACGACACTTCTTTCACGACAGCTTTTAGCAACGCTTAGCACTTCGTACTTGAGCGCGAGCAGGAACTCATAAATCTCCCCGGCCCGGGGAGCGGGCAGCTCGCCA